AATTCAAAGGAAATGAAGAGCAATGGTTTTGGGCATGGGGATGGACAGAAAGAGATGTCTTTGAGAGATATTTAGGTGATTGAAATAAGATTTGGTTTCTTAACATAAATGTGTAGGAGAGGAAAGAAGATTCTAGGCATCTGGCTTGGAGAAAAATAACTCTAATAAGTTGGAGATATTGTTGTTATTATTATTTAACTTGTAAACTTAGAGGAATGGAAACATATTGCTTTGCTTTTTGTGTAAAGCACTCTTTACCATACAGAATTTACAAACCTGGAGAAGAGAGAGATAATTTAGGAGAACATAGTCTGACTTACCAGTAGCAAGTAACAGTATTGACTTGAGATATAATATAGCCTTTTTTACAAAATGTGTGCAAATAACTTTTTTTTTTTTTTTTTTTTGCTACCAGAGCTTTTTAAAATGCAGTATGTCCCCTTAGAATAGGGATTCTTGTGGACTTGTCAATATATTCTCTGGCTTCAGGGCATTTGAATCACAAAGTATACAATATCATAGTGGATTTTTTGAGCAGTCCACTAGATATACATATGTTATGTTGGACACACAGTTTACATAGTCTAGAGGAAAAAGTATGAATCGCAGAATGTAGGATTCAGTTTAGGCTCCTCAAATAACTTGCTGTCTGGACCTCATTTTCTTTTCCTCTAAGATATAGACAGCATGATCAAATTACTAGTAATATCCTGTTTACTCTCAGTTTGATGCAAGTATCTATTATGAATGAATATTTGAATGTGTATGTTTGCAAATACACATATGGACACATGTATGCATATATATATATATATGTATGTATATATACACATAGAAATGTTATATGGCAACTTCAAATTTTCCTAACCACTTCACACCAACAAAGGTTTGTTTCATTTTAATTTTTCATGGTTTTCTTCATCTTATATTATAGTATTTATCTACCATTATATTTCTTTTCTGGGTAGAAATATGTCATACTTTACTTTCATCAGGGATTTTTCTCTCTGAAATTAACTTATGAAACATGAGGGCACCAGGGCACACTACTGTATCTGGCATCTTCCAGTGTGTTCTCTACCTTTCTGGACTCAAGTTTATTTACAGGGTGTTCTTGTTTACCAAGCATGTCTGCAGGTTGCAAGGAACCTAGAAATATGTATGAGGAACTTAGCTGAGTATCATAAATATTTCATGTTCCAGATGATCCTCCAAAGCTATGTCTAAGTTACTGTGCTGTTGAAGCATAGGGGAAAGTCTTTCAGCTTCATAATAGAGAGAAATAAATTCTTACTAAATATTTTTCTTCTTTTTCCCCCCCAACTTACCCTATCTATAGGGGAAGAACAAACTGTTGCCTTTTGAGCTGCTGATTAACCAGTGGTAAATTATTCCCAACCTTTGATTCTCCTCGTTTTCTTTTTCTTCCTCTCGCCTTTCTATTTTTGATACCCACTGATATTTCTAAAAATTGGGTGGGATAAAATCCAGACCAATTTCACTTGGTATTTTAAAAAAGATTTACCCTGGCAGCAATTTTTACTGTCAAGTTAAAGGACATTTAGAAATTACTTGTATGTGTTATTCATACTATCAATGTCCCATTAGCTTGTTCTGTTTAGAATCTGCTGCATCACCAAGAGATAAAAAATGCAACTGTGCATGTACCAAGATAATGACTGCTCATTACCACCTGGCTAGCACATATTTTTATCAAGGCTCGGTTTTCAAAGTTGATCTGAGGATAGACGAAAAAAATAAAAATACAAAGCTCAAAAGCATGGAAATAGACTTAGCAATCAAAAATCAGAGAGGTTAAGTTTGGGCCAGATAACAAGAGGCTTCAGTTAAAGGGTTTATTTGCTTGAAATACCAACCTCTCAAGCATCCCTTAAGTCTTCATGAGGAAAGGTTTTATTGACTACACATGCTAACATCTCATTAAGAATGGAACATAAAGAAGATAAATTACAGAGTCAAAAAGGTGAACAAGGTAAGTGGAGGCCACAGTTAACTAAATGCAGGTCCCTTGATTTGTGGGTGGGGATTTTTTTGTCTTTTTTTTTTTTTTTTTTTTTTTTTTGGAGCTCGTATACGATGTAAGACTAAGTTGCTCAGTACCAGATACAATCTAGGGATAAAAACACTGGCCTAGAGTGACCACGTGAGTATTGATTGGGAGTAATAGTTATATAGTGCTGGACAGTTTAGTGCTCAAAAGTCTAAAAACGTCAGGAGTATATAGCATTTTTGCAATGTAGTAATCATATTGAATTATGTTTTTTTTTTAATTTTTTCCCTAGAAATAAGTACTAAGACAAAAATTTAAACTGTGATCTAATTAGGAGATATTATTGGGATAGATATGTAAAAGAAGGCAAGAAAATCTCTAATAAGATTTTTGAATACCAACAGTTTGAACTTATGTATAAAAATATAAGTTATATCGGTCTGTCAAACTCCTACAGTATTTGCCATTTAGAGACATTACTGATAATAAGATCCACTATACTTACCCCAATGTTTAAATTCTTAAGTAATAATTGAATTATTTGAAATGTTAGTACTGAGTAAACACATTAGATTAACCTGGTTTGCAATAATAGACTAATTTACCCATATCAAAGATACAGCCAGTCAAGAGACACAGAGGAGAGAGATTGTGAGGCACTCTACACCTCTCTCCAAATCCTTTCTTCTCACATTGGACACACACATTGTGTCTGTAAGGAAAGTTTTATTGATTTCCCCACGTAGTTTACATTATAAAATATATCCATTTTTTACTCTAGAAAGTGTAAAGTTTTAGGACATTTTCCTGGAAGCCATAAGCAGTTATTCTACAGATCCTGAGTTTATTTACTACACAGGACACCCTGCTAAGGGCTTTTATAGATAAGGACTCTTTTTCCTATTAAATATTATTAGTCTCTAACTGGAGGTCTAGTAGACAAAGACAACCTCCTTTCTTTTTTTCCTCTCCCTGGCCTTCACCCTCTCCCCCTACAACACAAATAACAATAGAAGAAGTGAATGAGATCTTAGACCAGGTGCTTTAACACTTTTTCCCCCCAAATACTTATCAGTGAAATGTGACTGAGTCAAAATTTGCAAAAACAAAACAAAACAAAACAAAACAAAAACATTCCCCAATACATGTAAAGATTCAAGCATATAATGAAATTTTGAAACCTTACGGTTGCAAAGTAGCAGAAAAACATCAGGAGTATGCCTACAGTTTCTGAAAGAACTAGAAACTGTTTGAAATTAAAGAATGAAGTAATCATCTAGATAATCATGATGATGATGATGATGATGATGATAGTAATTAAGTTCTCACCACTCAAGCACTCTTCTATATTCTTTATGGGTATGGTTTTATAAGATCCATAATTATCTTCTGGGATAGGCACTATTATTTTGCTATTTAACAGATGTAGAAACTGGAGCATAGAGAAAAAGGTCTTAGCCAGGTTTGCTAACAAGTAGACTCTGCTACCATTTATCAACTTAAGGAAGGCCAACTCTCAAATCCATGTTGGTAATTGCTAATCATATAGGAGAAGAACAAAGACATGTCAAATTCAACCTACGTTTATTAAAAAAACTAGATAATAAAAGGGAAGATGACATTAAAAAATAGTAGCAGAGGGGTGCCTGGGTGGCTCAGTCAGTTAAGCGTCCAACTTCGGCTCAGGTCATGGTCTTGTGGTTAGTGGTTTCAAGCCCTGTGTCGGGCTCTATCTATGCTGAGAGCTCAGAGCCTGGAGCCTGTTCAGATTCTGTGTCTTCTTCTCTCTCTGCCTCTCCCTGCTTGCATTCTGTCTCTCTCTCTGAAAAATAAAATATTTTTTTAATTTAAAGAATAGTAGTGGAGAATCAGTTTTGTTGATTATCGCTATTGCAAAAATGAAGTAGCTACTGAAATTAACGAGTAAGCAATGGTTTTATTGAATATCTGTTTTGAATGTAGTGTCATATTATGGCCTACAAGACATATGAAGTAGAAGATATAGCACATAACAGAAAACCTGCCAAAAAAGACTGGAAGTTGAGTTAGAGGGTATGGCAAATGAGATATAGTTAAGTATCAACATCAGAGAGGTGTTAATTGAAGCAATTTTCAAACAGATAATTTTTCCAAATAAATGTGATTATCAGGCTAAATTCTAAGTTAAAAATGCCTTATTAAAGGAGTGGTTTGGAATATGATTTTCATTTGTAAAATTCTAAATAATGTGAAGGCGTATAAACTAAACTGAGAAAAGAGTGGTAAACAAGAATGAGGGAAGTATGACCTACATTGCCATCTGTTGGGGAAATGCACATCTGTCACACTGAATGAAAGATGAAGTTTGGAAATTCCCAATGAATCTCAACAGCCAGCATTACTATTTAAGAGCAAAAACAGATTTCAAGCCTAATTTAGCTTTTTATTTTTTTTAATTTGGAAAAGATATTTAAAGAAGAAAAAATATCTCCAATCAGAAACCATGGCTTTTAAGGTTTCCAGATATAATTTTAGATCTAATTAGAATAGAATTGTGCTAGAGAAAGAATATTGTCAAAACTTGTCTCCAGAGTTGATTTTATGCTTTCCAGAAGCATCTTGTTTTCTGACTAATGGATCTGTGCATTTCACAAGATATGGTGGCCAAAATCCTATGCCGGAAGTTAGTCTCAGCTCTAACATGGTGTTATTTTGAGTAGTCATTTGACTCGTTAGGTCTAAATTCCCTTGTTAAAGCGGGTAAGATTGGATTAAGATTAACTTTCAGTTGCTCTCCTATTTATTATATGCACCTATTTAAAAAATAGCCTGTTAATAATTGCATGCTTGATATACTTATTTTATAGATAGAAATTGTGTTCCCACAACTACGTTTTCTCCTTCTTCTTTTCCACCCCTCATCCTCCCCCTCTTCCTCCTCCTCCTTATTATTTTTATTATTATTTTACTTCTTCTGAAATCTTATAGCAGTGTCTGTTCTCTCCTTTAGGGTGGAGTTAGTGGGTTGACTGGAGAGCTAGAATTTGGAGAGAATGGAGGAAATCCCAATGTCCACTTTGAAATTCTTGGAACCAACTATGGAGAAGAGCTTGGCCGAGGTGTTCGCAAAGTAAGACCAGACACATTGATACATGCATTTTTTCCTAAAGCAACTATAATTTTGTTTGATTTTACTCCATGCAGTACAGTCACAGTAGGCGTTAAAGTCCATACTGTAGTTTGAAACAAAAGGGGAAGGGGAGAATATGGTATTTAAATGCCTTTAATTACTTATCAGAAGTATTAAGCAATGCATTTCATTTATGCCTTAGAATAATTAAAGGAAAAAAGTAATCTAATGGTTTCCTAGGGAACTAGCATCATCTTCCATTCATTATAATAATTTTCATAAAGTAGGGAATTTAATATTTAAAGAATGCATAACTACTTGGTTTTTAACTTGTAACATGCACAAAATCAGAATAAGAGCTTTGATAAATTTCATACAGTAAGAGGGAAAGTCTACTCTAAAAACTGACATTACAGTAATTCAAATTCTATGCTTGTCATGTAATAAGTACAAAATGGTTTGTAGGAAATGAGCTCTTGTTCTATACTCCAGGCCACATGTAAGAAGGTGAGTGCTAATAAAGGATATTTTACAAACTACTGATACAATAGCTTTCTGAAGGAGAAATATAAAAGCCCCTCTTGAAATTACTTTTCTATAGTTTGGATTTGCCATTTTTTATATATTTTTGGTAGAAAAAAACTAAGATAATTGAGTGCACTTCCAGAGCTCACAACTATAAATTTCTAACTGTATAAAGGTAGCTGCATTGAGAATAAGAGCTTCTTCAGTAGGTGTTCTCTCCAGTGCTGAGATGTGGGCTGCAGAGAAACAGACAAAACAGTTAGGAGTTATTCTAATCCTCAGTAAAACTTCCTAGAAAACTTATGCTAGAGAGGAGTAGAAAGTGCCTTAATAAATATGTTTTTAATTATTGTCTTATAGTGAAACATAGGAGATATAAAAACTACATAAAACACAAAGATAGTTTATTGAATTATTTTAAAGGAAACAACCACTACTGACATCAAGAACGATGGCATATCAAGCATCTTAAACACCCCCATGTACTTCTCCCTGATATATCCCTGGCTCCTCTTCTCACTAGTATAACCATTAGTCTGACTTTTCTGATACTCATTTTGTTATATTTTAAATATAAGTTTTATCCCTGTGTGCATCCTTAAATAACATAATTGAATTTTGCCACTATTTCAGTGTATGAATGGTCTCAATATTGCATATATTATTTTCTTGCTTCTTATGTTCAACATTCTGTTTGTGTTCTCCATTCTTGTCATTACATGCAGTTGTAGTTTATTTCTATATTGCTGTTGTTTTCTACCACGTGAATGTGTCCCAGGCCACTGTGGTCTCTATCCATTTTTAGACTCTTATAAGAAAAGCAGTTATAAATATTCTTGGAAATATATCTTGAATATATATTCTAGAACTTGTGTGTATATTTCTGTACGTTTGGAGTAGAATTGCTTAATATAAGGAAGCATATTGGGACACCTGTATGGCTCAGTTGGTTGAGCATCCAACTCTTCATCTCAGCTCAGGTCTTGATCTTCAGGTCCTGAGTTCAAGCTCTGTACTGAGCTTCATGCCTGGCTTAGAGCCGACTTAAATATATATACATATACATATACATATATGTATATATACTTCAAGCATATCTTGAATTTTACTGTATAACCTCAAACCCATTTTCATAGAGATTTGCTAATTTTCATACCACCAGCAATGCAATAAGTTTTCATTGCCCTATGTTCCCACCAAATTTTGGTTTCATTAGACTTCACAAAATTTTATTAAGTTATTGGGTATATAATGATATATCTTCATGGTTTCAAGTTTTGTTTCAGTGATTATATAAAGCTTCTGCATATTTTCTTATACTTTTTGACACTTCAGATTCCTTTTTGAGTTAATTGCCCATTCAAGTCCTTTGTACCTGTTCTTCTGGGTTGTCTTTTGTTTTTATAATTGATTCTAGGATATATACATATATATATATATATATATATATGTTTGTTTGTTTTTATACATATATATATGTTTAAGTTTTTATTTAAATTACATTTTTTTTCACAGTGTCTTAACTCTAGAGAACAAACTAAGGGTTACTGGATTTGAGTTAGATGAGGGGTGGATTAAATAAGTAATGGAAGTTAAGGAGGGCATTTGTTGTGATGAGCACTGGGTTTTGTACGTAAGTGACAAATCACCATATTCTCCACCTGAAACTAATATTACACTGAAAACTAACTGGAATTTAAATAATTTGAAGAGAGAATAGTTCCCTGAGGACCCTGGGGCAAGTAGCACCTGCTATGGTAAAGATAACTCTTTTCCCAACACCTAGCACAAAAATATAAATAAAATAAATAAAAATAAATAAATCCTCTTACCCATCAACACCAGTGCCATTATTCTCTGCCAATATCCACCCTCCCAACAAGGGACGTTTACTTTTGCAATAGCAGCTGGAAGTCAGCCCTCAGTTCCCAAAGCCTTCTCTCCTGACTACCAACTCTTATAAAAGAACACCTTAAATAAATTTGGAATAATTTATTTCTTATAAAGGAACTCTTATAAAGGAACACCTTAAATAAATTTGGAATTTATTTCTTTCATGACCCCTTGTATTCAACAATAGTGTGATTAATTTATCATTGATTTGCAGTATATTAATTCTTTTTTTAAATTTTTTGTTTCAAGTTTTTATTTAAATTCTAGTTAGTTAACATTTAGTGTAATTTTGGTTTCAGGAGACTATAGCGAGTCATCACTTACACATAGCATCCAATGCTCATCAGAACAAGTGTCTTTCTTAGTACCCATCACCCATCTAACCCATGTCCCCACCCACCTCCCCTCCAGCAACCATCAGTTTGTTCTCTGTATTTAAGTATCTCTTATGGTTTGTCTCCCTCTCTCTTTTATTTTCCTTCCCATATGTTCATCTGTTTTTTTTTTTCTTAAAACCCACATATGAGTGAAATCATATGATATTTGTCTTTCTCTGACTGACTTATTTCACTTAGCATTATACACTCTAGCTCCATTCACGTCACTAAAAATGGCAAGATTTCATTCTTTCTGATGACTGAGTAATATTCCAGTGTGTATATATATATCACCTCTTCTTAATCCATTCATCAGTCGATGGACATTTGGGCCTTTTCAGTAATTGGACTATTGTAGATAATGCTGGTGTAATCATTGAAGTGCATGTGCCCCTTTGAATTAATATTTTTGTATCCTTTGGACAAATACCTATTAGTGTGATTGCTGTATCATAAGGTAGTTCTATTTTTAACTTCTTGAGGAATTTCCATACTGTTTTCCAGAGTCACTATACCAGTTTGCATTCCCACCAACAATGCAAGAAGGTTCCTTTTTCTCCATATCTTCTCCATCACCTGTTGTTTCTTGTGTTGTTGATTTTAGCCATTCTGACAGCTGTGAGCTGATACCTCATTGTACTTTTGATTTATGTTTCTCTGATGATGAATGATGTTGAGCATCTTTTAAAGTGTCTGTTAGCCGTTTGTATGTCTTCTTTGGGAAAACTTCTACTCATGTCTTCTGCCCATGTTTTAATTGGATTATTATTTTTTGGGGGTGTTGAGTTTTAGAAGTTCTTTAAATATTTTGGATACTAACTCTTTATCAGATTTTTCATTTGTAAATATCTCCCTCCATTTCATAGGTTGCCTTTTAGTTTTCTTAATTGTTTCCTTCACTGTGTAGAATTTTGTTTTGATAATGTCCCAATAGTTTATTTTTGCTTTCATTTCCCTTACCTGAGAAGAAATATCTAGAAAGCAGCTGCTCCAGTGAGTATCAAATAGATTACAGCATGTTTTTCCTCTAAGATGTTTATAGTTTCAAGTTTCATTTTAGGTCTTTAATCCATTTTGAATTTAGTTTTGTGTATAGTGTAAGAAAGTGATCTTCATTTTTTTGCATGTTGCAGTATAGCTTTCCCAATACCATTTGTTGAAGAGACTGCCTTTTTCCCATTGGATATTCTTTCCCGCTTTGTCAAAGATTAATTCACCATATAGTTGTGGGTTCATTTCTAAGTTTTCTATTCTGTTTCATTGACCTATGTGTCTATTTAGTGCTAATACCATCCTGCTTTCATCACTACAGCTTTTTAATTTAACTCAAAATCTGAAATTGTGATTCATCCAGCTTTGCTTTGCTTTTCAAGGTTTCTTTGACTATTAGGGATCTTTTGTGATTCTATGCAAATTTTATAATTGTCTGTTCCAAGTCTGTGAAACATGCTGTTGGTATCTTCATAGGGATAGAATTACATGTATAAATTGTTTGGGGGAGTATGGACAATTTTTAAAAGTTTACTTACTATGGGGGGGGGTGCAAGCAGGGGGAAGGGCAGAGAGAGAGGAAAGAGAGAATCACAATGAAGGGCTTGATCTCATGAACTTTGACATCATGACCTTAGCCAAAATCAATACTGACACTTTACTGAATTCTTGTATCAGTTCTAGCAGTTTTTTGGTACAATCTTTTGGGTTTTCTATATAGAGTATCAGGTCTTGTGCAAATAGTGAAAGTTTACTTCTTCCTTGGTGATTTGGATGTCTTTTATTTCTTTTTGTTGTCTTATTGCTGTGGCTAGGACTTCCAGTACTAATAAATAACAGTTGTGAGAGTGGATATCCCTGTCTTATTCCAGACCATAGAGGAAAAGCTCTCAGGTTTTCCCTGCTGAGGATTATGTTAGCTGTGGGTTTTCATATATGGCCTTTATTATGTTTAGGTATATTTCCTATAAACCTGCTTTATTGGGAGGTTGTTTTTTTTTTTTTTTAATCATGAAATGAAAGTTGTACTTTGTCAAATGCCTTCTCTGCATCTATTGAAAGGATCATATGATTTTTACCCTTTCTCTTGTTGATGTCTTATATTACATGGGTTTTTATACTAAGGTTACATTGCTCTCATAAAATGTGGTGGCGAGGGTTTCCCCTTTTTATACTCTCTATGAATTATGTAGTATTGGAAGAATTTCTTCTTTG